TTATATATATATATATAAATATGTACTTGCTTCATTCCATCAATTAGTTAATTAAGTGTGTCCTGTATAGAAGACAACAGTACTAAAGACTCTGAGAGACAACAAGAACTACAGCAAACGATGGAAACATATATCATGCGCACATATATAACGAAACAGAAAAATCTTTATTCACCTCTGTAGTCTTCCATCAACCGCTGATTGGCCGTAAGGAAATATGTGACTTTCTCTTCTAGTTCGCACTGCAATAGTCCGATCTTTTCGATTGCCTTAAACCAGAAGCTGATTGAAATTCAGTTCTTAAAAAGCTGCAATAATTGGGTTATGTCGTTCGAAAAGACGTGGCTCATAATTATAACAGACAAGGAAAGAGACGGTTTGAAGAGTGAAGTCTTCGGAATCCTGAAAAGTTTCTTTCTAACGATATATCACAATCACAGATATCAGGAGGTAAACAATTAAAGCTTGAAACGAAGAAATACAGCATAAAAAGGAAAACATGAAAAAAATGCTGGGCATTAAAAAATAAAAATAAAATTTATCAAAGAAGGATAGACAGAAAGTAAACTATAAGGGAAAAGACTGCAACTGCGTGAAAACTCCTTGACACTTAACTACTCGTGTACAACGGCTGCTCTAAGACTTTAACGAACGCGGATTCACGTATCACGAAACCGGACGTGGAGTTTTCATGTCGTTGAAAACAATACCGCAGAGCTATCTCGTCAACGGTACATTTCAAAAGAGCAAAATGTTCTTTATGTCCATATATTCATTCAGACGGACTTTGACACGAGTTTCTGTAATACAAATGCTAATTTTAAGTCCGTTTGATAAATAAGTTAGTTTTTAAGCAGGTCGCCTGCTGTAAAGTGTCCATCAGCGAAATGATCCCTTTTCCAGAGGTGACACTGAATCCGACCTTACTTATATAACTAGCGAAGGTTAGAAATGAATGCACGTTAAAAGGCAAAGGTACAGTATTTCTGTTACGCTGAGATGGAAGGTAAATATCGTAACGTGTACGAAAGAGACTGTGACGGAGAAAACTGTAATCTTAACGATTGGTTTCAAATATGTACGAGAGGCAGATTCTGAATTTCAAGCTTACGTACCGATGAGCAGTTGTAATAAAACATCGCTCTTCTACCCATATTAATGACAGTTTTAATAAAATATGATTGGAGAAATGCAGAATAACGAAGTCAAGAGCGAAAGCAATTCTGCTCTTGACGGAAAAGGAAAAAAGGACAAAGAAATATTGCTTTTCTTTCTTTGACGTTCAACAAAGAAATGGTTGTTTTGTTCTTCATCGAATGTCAACGAGGACAGGTTTGCATGTCTTCACGTAGGAACTCAAGAGAAAATTCCAAGAACTGAACTACGCCTGCATTAAAAAGTCTGAAAATGAACCTGAAGAAGACTCACGTCATGTTTAACAAACCGTGTGATCCGTTGAAGTGAACGAACTTGAGCTTGAAGAAGTGCAAAAGTACGTCTATCTTGGGCAATCCATCACCGGAACCGAAAACCAACCCTGTAAAATCACCAGAAGAATGAAAGTGGCATGGAGCACTAGATGGAGCTGGAGCACAAGACCGTAAATGCCCTTATCCGGAAATCTGCCTTTGCACTTTTTTGATCAGTGTGTATTCCTCGTGTCAACCTATGGGTACGAAACGTGACAACTCTGCATCAACCGCAGAGTACACAATTCAACATGGAAAGATTCATGTTTGGAACAATAGGAAAAGTTAGGAAAACGAATAAAAGTTTTTCTAGACAAAACCTGTGAAGTTCAGTAGGCCTTGATGTTGCTTACAACAAAGGGATGATTTAGTTCAGTAAAGCGAGCTCTCCGATAATGGTACCGCTTTAGTTGTTCATCGATGTCAAGAGAAACGAGGCACCGAATGAGCTTAGGAACCGTCGGTACACGGCAAAGGAAGAAGTCTCTGACAGTTACAATCATCAGCAAGAAAATATGGCTGAACATGAGCATAAATCAACACAACCAACCCAATTCTACGATAATGTCAAGCTGATAACTGTATGAACTTTGTCGTTGGGACAACGGTTCTTTCACATCCCCATAATAAATACCCCTGTGGTACCTCTGATAATGTCGCTATTTATGATTTCACTAACAAGAGATGTTAAATTCACTATGGCACTATCCAAAATTACGTAACAACTATAGCGCGTAGTTTCTGTCTTCTTATCGAGAGATGGGATAAAAAAATATGCCAATCTTTACTGCGCTTGGTCATTTAGTTGCTCTAGAGAGATGTACCATCAGGCAGCGAATCCAACTAATATTTCCAGTTTATTACAATGTATTAAACCAGCCAGCTGAACACTTTCTATAAGACCGATTTTTAAAATTTAACGATAAGAACAGTAAGGTTAAAAAACACCTTATGGCAGAACAAGTTCGATTCTCTGTGGGATCAGTCACTTATTATCGGTCAGTAAGTAAGGATCCGCGGGAAGAAAACGAAATATGCATGTCACAGGTGCTATGCAACTTAGATATCGCCTTCATCAAAAGAAAAGTATTTCTGATTGATGACTTTGAAATGCATCCATTTGGAAAATATTTTTGCTTTTGTTTCGTTGATCATTCGACACAATGCTATGGCACGTAATGGAAATATTGGGCATTGCGCAATTAGACGATATAATGGTGATGTCGTCGGCACAGTCAAGATCACCAGTGTAGTGACCATGACTAACTTAGAGGGAGGCGGCGAAATCAACAGCTTCACTGAAAAGAGGCATACGACAGACGGCGCCGATCATGCCATCATGGAAATTTCAGTGGCACCAAGCTTTCAGCGGTTACAAGCGTCCCTTTCCTTCTCCTAGTTTTAAACTTCTTCAAGAAAAATTACTCGCTAACAAACTGATGATGACTTACATCGTTGTATTTCTTCTCACAGTCGCTCAACGACACGGCGATCCTCCTTAAAAGTAACACGTTATCGTCAAACAGAGTACCAGAAAACTGCTCAAACCTGTTCTCTCGCTCTAAATCATCGTTATTCTGCTCCAACTGACGGACGTAGCGTTGCAGCCGCTCGTTGTCGTTCTTCATTTCGTTCAGCTGCGCTTCTAAACGGGTGTTCTGTTCGCACTGCTCGAAATGCAAGCCGTCAAGTTTCGACTGAAAAACAAATGTTGTCAACGTAAAGCGTACTTGACTGACAGTACGGCAACGTCTAAATTCGAGTCACATCTCGTGGAAGTGATGGTCAGTTGTTTTTCGTGCGCTCCCTTGTATTCGTGGGCGATCGCAAGTGGACGGCAAATTCTATCGTTGTCAATCGCTGGCTCTGGGGCACATTATCGCAAATGACCTGTAGCCGCCATAACAAATGTCTGAGGAAATGAGGAGAAAGCGCGGATGTCTCCACAAAGGAGCACAATTTCCTCATGTTGCACTTCACTACTATATCAGGACAAAGTTAGCCGTCTACATGTGTTACGCTCCATGAAATGACACCGCCAAAAAACCGTCATGCTCCTTCAAACCAACAGGAGTATTCAACGTCGCCACCCCGTCGATTCGAATAATAATTAGCGTTGTTAGTCCCTGGAAGTGATCTGCCGGATAAAATGTACAGCTTATGCACAACAACTAGCACCCTGTCATCTACGTACGGCAACAGATCTTTGGCACACTGAAGAAAAGCTACCATGTATTAATGTATTTTATTGCGTGAATGTAAGAAACATGGTCCATAAACACATCTTAAGTGGTAGGAAAAACCAGTAGCTGTTTATGCCGTCTATCAGCAAGCAACGACGGGTGTTTTATTGCGCGAGACAAGGCATGAATGACTGAACTAGGTCTCAATGCCGTCTAACAGTAGATTTTAGTCGTCCCTGATTTTATACCAGAATGTAGGGAAATACAAAGGTAAAAAGTTGCACGAACCAGATGGTTGCTGTTGAGAGAACGCCGGTGTACAAACGTCGACAAACTTTCAGCATAGGTTGCAAACGTCCCGGGACAAGAACCACAAAAACAAAGCAACCATTACACGACATCAAAATTAAGGCACGGTGCAGAACGCTAAGATCAAGAATCTCTTGTAACTAAGCCTAATGTCTCTCGGGTCCAGCGACGGTTGGTGTTTTTTCAATGCCTGTAGTGTCTACTCCTTTGCTTTTAAAAATCCTGGCAACTTCGCACATACGTCGAAACTACACGGATTAGACGCAACACTAGCACCGTTCAGATGCAAACCCGCATAATCGACTTATCCTGAACAAAAGCATAGCTATACAATAACGGATGGTGGCAATAATGAACCGGTGGGATCAAAAACTAACTTTAGCGGCTATATATCTGAGGATCGATTTTTCTCCTCCCCTACCCTGACAAAACAATATGTAGAGTATCCTATTCTCTAGTTCACTGGCGCAACAGTCAAAATGACGATCACGGTCTTTTGATATGGTGCTGTAATTATGCATAATAGTTAGTATTTATATATGTTTCTGTTCAACCGTGATACAACTTTGCATTCATATATAGCCGATGCCATAACACGACAGATCTGCGCCCCATTAAAGCTCCGTATCTTTCTAGGAAGTCAGGAAATCGATTAACGGCCTTGCGAATTTGGTGAAATAAGATGCATACTACAATTTAGTTCGTCAACTATCACAAGTGATAAAAAATGTCTATTATATTATCACAGGTGCTTACAATGTATCGTAATGTATAAAGCACACACCTGTACAACACGGCACTTACATAAACAAAAAATGCACATACCAGCGACTACACATTGCAATCCACAACTTTGTATCTCCGTGAGACAAAATATTTTACTCCTCTCTATGTAGTGAGACATTCGATGTATACTTGCTAAGCATTGTAAAAAAATTATTTAAACTGTACTATTTACTGTATTCATAATTTTCCTTAGTAAATACAAAAGAACACACAGCTACATGCATTACAATACATATAGACAATAAGCAAATTCTGCGACCCGAATCATGCAATACATAGTGTTAACGAGATGTAGCTGCCCCATGCACTACTTCCAGATCCGATACAAAGTTTCTTACTGCCAAACGTTTGGTGAGTAAATATTACTGCACATTCTTGATACATATGTTAACAAGCGATCTGTATAGCACATACAGCCACTAAATAGATCGCTACCTTAAAACTATCTCGTTCCATCTCCAGCTGTTTCACGCGGTTGTTCAGATACGTATTTTCTTTCGTACACTGGTCCAACTGCAGATCAAGTTCCGCTTCTAGTTCACGACTTTCCACCTGGTACTCGTCCAATTCTTTCTGTTTTGAAGTCAAGCTAAAGTAATTTCGCATACAGATGTACTACCTATGTACTACCGATCGATTACCTTAAAAAGAACGATGGACGGGTGGATTCAATTATCAACAGACGCTTAGCTTAGAGACATCTTCCAGCTAACTTTCCGAGGACAATTTCGAAATAAACAAAGGCAAACAAATATCATGAAACTAGTGACTCCAACTGAAGTCAGCCGATTAGTAGGTAGGTAGATTAGTCGGTTTTCCGTTTCCTCTGTCTTTACTGGTAATCTCTTTGTTCTACTTTGCACTTTGGACGACCAATCTGGCACTTCAGCTCAAAGCACTTTTTTGCCATTTTTGGAATTTTATTTTGTTCCAGTTAATCGTTCCTTTGTTACACTGGTGTTAGCTTACCGTGTTTTTTTCTTTATCGTGATATGTGTCATATCTTATACCCCGTTTACCAGCAGATGGTTGGCAGGTTGCATTATTCCCGCGAAGCTTTCCGAATACTGAGTATAGCACTACGAAACTTTCCTCACAGACTTTCAGGAAGATGCTAGAAATGAGAATCTTGCGCGATGCTCGACATCGAAAAAGGCAAGGTCGTCGTCGGTTTGCCTTTTGTTAAATGCAAAGTATTACTGCTACTTATTCGCTGTGCAACCATTAACTGTGATAATCACGCATTTTTACATATGCCGAAAAAGGGAGTTGCTTTGAGACTCCATTTAAGCAGTAAACTTTCAGACTTCAACCTCACGGTAAGGGTCCCCGCTCTTCAACCAACATAAATGTTACCGACCTTCAAGCTGGTAAGTGAGTCACGGAGAAACAAAGCGTGTTTGACTTGCATCGAGCTGCTGTAAGGGCAACGTTGCCTACCTTGGCATCACAGCTCAACGTCCAAACGTACTCGCAGCTGACATGTGGCTCTCCATTGCAAATATATGAAGTGCAACTGGTTTGTGATATGCATGCTGATGTCACTAATTTTGTTTCTATACGCTGAAAAATAGAATTCTTCGGCGATGCCATTCAAGAAATAAACTTTTATCAATTAATTCAACAGCGTAGCATAATTAACTACGAAATTAAGAATTAATCAATTATAATTAATTAAGGAAGACGAAGCAACTAATACCTGCCTAACTGACCGGCGGAAGACCACAGGGACGGCCAAAATTATCTTCAGCCAAGTATATCGAAGAACTTTAATCTAGACTCAGCTAGACTTCTGCCATAACTCAAACGTTAACAGAGGATCGGGAACGTTGGAATCACTGTTTGACGCGTCTGCTTCCGTTACCCGAAAGGATAAGCGGCCATCAAAATTGATTGATTGATTAATTTATGAATAATTAATTGACATATGGATTTTAGTTGAATGAAAAAGTACCAGAATTGGCGTTTCGATTTTTCCTTAATAAGGAGAAAATAACATCCTACCTTGTACTGTACTTTTCAGCCAACGCTTTCCAGTGCGCTACTTCGCCTTTTAGTTTTTCTATCTCTGACATGTTACGGCGCGGTCCGCACGCATGACCT